CAGCCATTATGTCCACTACATTTTCGACGTTTGTCTTCAATGCGCCGAGAGCGAATGAGACAGTGAGAGAAACCTCAATGTTAAAACCAACTTAAAAAATTAAAATATTACAAAAGTTATCAGTATTAAAATTTAAATTAAAATGTAAAAATAAAATTTTCTTGATTGTAACGCTTCATCTCGCCCACGTATATTAAAATATAGACTAATTTAAACATTTTTAAGACCATACTATGTGAGAAATACAATTAATAATAGAAATTCAAAGCCTATAACGGTCGAAGCTAGATCTATAACGCTTTTTAAAATATAAAATAATAATATAGCTCAATCAGAATAAATCAATATAAATAAATAGAAGGGCTATGAACTGGATTAAGAACAGATTAAGAACATTGAATATTCAGAAAATAAATATAAAGAAGTACAATAACAAACGCCAATCGGGTCATTCTTAATGTTAAAACCAATCTAAAAATTAAAATATTACAAAAGTTATCAAGTATTAAAATTTAAATTAAAATGGTAAAAATAAATTGTCATGACCTTGACATGTTAAGGTCAAGGTCATCGGGGCGTGCTCCCTCCATCGGCATATTTACCGATTTCTTATCTCTATTGTTATAATCTAATATTATAGCAATAAGGACCGGACTAATAAGGGAACCAGACTAACTTAATATATCGATCACTTATCTGTAAAACAGTAAGTTTTATTATAAAATATTTAAAAATTTTTTTTAATCTTAAAATAAATTTAAAATAATTAGAGCATTAGCATATTAAAATTTGATAAATTTCAGGCGGATCATGCAAATACTATATTGCATATACATTAATACATATATATTAATATACATTATCCATATCTGTAAGCAAATATTAACAGGATCTTTTTAAAGTTTACAGTAATATTTTCAGCTATTAGGATCCAATTGCTTGATAATATACAACTCGTAATAATCATGTGAACGATTACTCATATTATTGCTTTAAATATAAAATTTCTATATATGTTTAATTTCTACATCTTCTGGGTAGGTTTCTTATCTGTAGGTATTACATTGCTCTAATTTTGACAGACAATACCTACTTAACCCCATGCTTATCGTTTTTTAAATGAATTTTGCGATAACAGTTTGAGAATCAGGCTTTATAATTTTATTCTACTTTATATAATAGCATAAAAATATAATTATTCATAAATCTAATAATATATAAGTTTAAAAAATTTTAATTTCAAAGCAATGAAAGTAATCGTACATATAATCTTGTATAACAAACTATTAATAAAACTAAAAATGCGTAAAAACTATTCGAATCTGAATCGAACCAAATCGGGTAAGATTCGATTCGATTTGGATTTTAATCTCTATGATTCGAATATAAACTATTAAAGAATTTCGAATCTAATGGCGAATTCGATTGGAAGCACTAGTGCATATTAAACCCGTTGTACTCTGATTTAATTTAAGTACAAAAATGAAATGCAAATATTTTGAATTACGAAATACATATTTTATATGTATTTCGTGATAATACAATAAAATGTATTGGATATTTCACGATTTAATCAATTACTATGTTTATTTATAAACATATCTTTACGTTATTTTGTATACGATGGCACTGAGTGCGTCCAATCGAATTCACTGAGATTCAAGAATCTCATATTTCAAATCACATATTTTATATGAAATTTTTTGTTAGATAAAATCTATATCTTATATAAAATCTATATCTTATATAAAATCTATATCTTATATAAAATCATTACCTTGTATAACTTATCTTATATAAAATCTTATATAAAATCTTATATAAAATCTTCTATAAAATTATATTTTCCGCTAATAAGTCAAACGGATAAAAATCTTTTTTATTACTTATACATATTGAAATTCAAACCAACAATAATTATGTTGTCAATTAAAAGTTGCGTTTCAACGATTCGATTCAGTTCAGGTCAAATTTTGTCAATTCGGTTCGGTTCAGATTCGAATAAAGAAATAAAATTCGATTCGATTAGACTCAGCTTAAAAAATTCTTGATTTGTACTTCTCTAAATGGAATCCAGAAAGCTGAATATATCAAAAAAAGATTTTGCAAAGAATTTTACAAATTTTATCAGCTATAAGATGATTTCGCTTTCCATCTGTTAATACATCATTAATTTTCTTATGATTAACAAGCTGTCACTGAATCAAGTCTACATAATTTTTTTAAATGCAAATATATATATATGTTTGATCTATATATATGTAAAAGTACTTAAATGTTATTTGAGAAACCAAAACGTTTACAATATTAATGCAAATTTAACTTTTACCAAGGATGACATAGTATTCGTCTTCTTATAATTAAAGATTATATACGAACGTGTGACATAATAATACATTTTCATTTCTTCCAGTTTATGGCTGTGTTCCAAAATTTACTACCAGTACTGAAAATCTATAGTTTACGTCACATGCTCTATGGATTTTCAGTACTGGCAGTAAATTTTGGAACACAGCCTGTTAAAATAAATGTACAACTTCTTACATATCGCTCACATAAAGGAACGACATCCAATGCGTGTGGTGTTAGTATAATCATAAAAGTGATTAATAAGATATCTTTAAACACAATTTATATGTATAATTTATATGTTTAATTAGTGCTGTACCAAAATTTTAGTTATCATAAAAAATATATGGCGTTTCTACATACAAAAATTTAATAAAGTTTATCTATTTTATTATTAATAAACAAGTGTTGTACAATATTTTCATTTATTCATATTATTTCATATGATAATAAGTATTGCTCGCAATTTTGTAATTATTGAACAATTCTAGTAATTTTAATGTAAAGCTCGAGTCAGAA